CCTTCGTGTTGAAGGAGGTTCATCTTGCAAGAACAGATAGAAAGATAAAACAAAATAAACTTTGTCCATAGAGAACACAAGGATGAGTATAATTCGTGATCATTCTGTTTGCTTCAATAAGCTTTGATGCTTTCCTAAGAAGTGAGAGCTTAAAATCTATAGCAAACTATCTAAGATAAACAATAGGTACAAAGAAATGGAAAACCAGCACAAAGCTATCTCTTCCACCCTGGAGGAAAGCAGGGGGAAGTTTGTTGTTTTGAGGAATGTCTGTATTGGTTTTGCAAGCAAGGTTTTGGTAAGCACGGGAGCTAGTGGAGCAGCTTCTGTGAGAAGCTGCTAGAAACTCTGCCCATGTCCGACAGAGGTAATGCCAGCTGGTTCCAAGACGGACTCGCTGATGGCCAAGGCTGAGCCCATCACCAATGGTGGTAGTGCCCTGGGAAAAGACATTTAAGGAAGGGAAGAAACTGGTGCAACAGCAATTACAGGCAGGGAGAGGAGTGAGAATATGCGAGAGCAAGGAAAGGATCCATGCTGGAGCAGTCTGTTCCTGCAGGACTGCACCCAGTGGAAGCGACCCATACTGGAGCAGTTCATGAAGAATTTAGGTGCCTCATTGTACCTAAGGCCCATCTCAGGTTGCTGCAAAATTGTTGTTTTTGTTGGAGAAGCTTAGTACCACTGAACATTGAGACAGTCAATTCAGACAAACAGGCTTCAACTGAGGTCCTAACTGCATTGTACATATATATTTATCTAGTTGAAGGAGGAGTGAGAAACATTACCAACTGCTCAGTCTTATTATCCTGGTTCCTTGTACCATCTTTCAGTAACTGGATCATTTTCTTCCAAAGCTGATGAAGCTCTGCCTTTTCTGCACCTTCCTCCTGTCTCATTTGTATTAGTTTCTGCCATGTTTCAGCCACCTGTCAACAGGAACAAATGAACCATGCTGTTACTCTTCAAAGAACTGGAGGTCCAATGTAAGCATACTGAACTCTACCACACTAAGATAGACAACAGAGTAACATTTTTTAAAGTAACAACCCAGATTTACCTGCTTTCTGATTAAAGCAGTAACAAGTCCCAAACCACTGCGTGGGACCTGTCCACCTTCAAGGTACAGAAAATAAGATGGAGAACATCAAAAGTATGAATTCTGACTCTGGTTCCTGGAGGAAATCAACAGCAGAAACAGATCTAAACAGTCCTTCAATAAACTCTGAAGGGATAAGCCTTATGAACAGAAAGAGAACAGCAGCAGCAGTACGTATTGAAATTCCAGTGTGGAAAAGTCAACAGAACTTAAAAGAAAAAATACGACTGCAAAGGTTAACTTCAGTTTCCTGCTCCACATAGAGCAAGTCTGCCTTCATATGCTAAATTATTAGCATTGAATCGAGTTTCAGAAACTGGTATAAAAAGCGGCTTTGGAACAAATTAATAGTCTTGAGCCTGATGCTATGTGATATGTAAAATTTTTCATTTCTCATTGTTGTAGGTAAGGTGGGAAGATGACAGGGAGTACAACGATGTACCATCTTGTAAGAAAGCAACCTTTTCAAAGAGCAAAGGAAAAGTCACTAGCATACCTCCAAAATACTCATTCTGTAACATTATTACAGAGACTGCAGGAAATATTACTGTTGAACTACTCAGGCATTCAACAACTCCACCTCATGGCACTGACAAGGGTCATGATTATTTCTGCAAAGCTCTTGAGTGGCTTTTTGTGTCCTTATTGTTGTGCTGGGAATGCAGTACATAAGACTCATGCAATCGAGTTCAAGTTGTGTATGTATCCTACCTTACCCTCTGGAATGAAGCATCAGGAAGGGACAGTCTAGGGGGGGGATCACCACACCAGTGAAGGATTAATCAAACACCTAGAATTGGCCAAGCAAGTCAAATGACACCTGACTCACATATATTGCATGTAAATGTGCATTTGAGACCATTCGTGACTTCTAGAAATATAACAGAAAAATTATATTCCACCCTTTCAGTCTGTATTCTGATAGCCTTGTCACCTTCTGACGGTTTAATGGATTGCATCCAAGTTTTACAGAGTGGAAAAGAAAGAAACACAGTTAAAATCAATTCTTCCTGGCTGCGGTCCACAGGAGATCTTAAGTCGCCTGTGGCCCAAAAAGTGAGGATTCCTTGATGAAAAATAGTTACTTCTGATCAAATTGAAAATTCTTGTTAGAAGAGAGAAAGTAAAGTACTTGACCTACCTCTAAATACTTTTTTTCTTGATGATATAGTTCCACGAGCTTGTTACATACATCACACCATTTCTGCTTGTCACCACTAGAAAGGAGGAAGAAAATCCCCAAAAAACAAGCTAAGTTTTTCACATAATAGTATGATGTTTTCCAAATTCTGGTGAAAAATTTTCAGTAGGTTCAGTTGTCAAACTAATATTTAGAATAAATGCTCCATATCTCCCTCTAGGTTTTATTCATTGCTGCTCTGAATAAGAAAAAAAAATACTTTTCAGGACTGTACATTTCTTTTTGATCAATTTTCAAATAAAGCAAACAAGCTGAACACTTCTGTCAGTTAAAGTGATAGCTGAGTTAAATTTGTTTAGAACTGTATCTCTTTGAGTCAGATGACATATATTCTGTGATCTTAAAGCAGAGAAAAATAAGCCTATTTATTAATGCAAGCAATGAACAATCAGAGCTAAATGCTTCAAGGCAGTGAGTTTACATAGGAATAGGAGAATAAGGAATTCGCTAAACTACTAACCTCAAGTCCAATTAAACTAAGAGTTTTTGCCTTACCAAAAGTGAAGAAACAAGAAACCTTATTTGGTAGAGAAAACCTTAGTAAAAAGTGCTGATCCACTGACATGAGAAGGCTTTAAAAAAAAAAATCAAAGTCTGTACTGTATATCAGCAATGGCATTCACTAAACTATAAATCTTAGACTGAACTAAGGCATTTAATGTCCTTCACCTTTTGTAGAGTTCCAAGAGTTTTTGGTAAACATCTGCTAAGTCTCCTTTGACATCTGTTTGGTTGGGTTTCTCATATAAATTTGCTAATCCCTTAAAAAAAAGCATAAAAATAAGTAAGATTTTGTGTCAATGGTTATGCATTATGAGACCACTACCAGTTCTGCCTATAAAAATTATTCCATTGCCTAAAATGGGGTCAAGTGTTAATGTAAAAATTGCTGAGCAGAATTCTGCATAACCTTCTGAATTCTACTCATATTAAGTGAAAAGCTTTCCTCACTTTCTTAATTAATACCAACAACTCTTTGGAACTTACATATATTACATGATCTTGTCTGCAAAATAGGTAATATGCAAAGTACACTTGGCTGTATGATAAAATCGATATCACATGCAAAAAATATTATATATATATAGATATACACACAGGTATGGTAACAAGAAAGCCAGAACCTGACTGCAAAAGTGAGGAAATTTCAACATACACTGAATTCTGGCCCCAACAATTATACTTTAAAATAGTATTTATATTGAAAATACTAAGAACCTGATTTCCTTAGAAAAACATTGATTGCTGATATAAGCAATAGACTCAATACACAACATTATGCTTCACAAATCTCCAAATTTCACAACTGTATGTTGTAACTCTATATTGTAATAGGCTGTAATGTACAACCATCCAGCACATAGCTATTTTAAACATACACTTCTGCTTTGAAGTATCAACAAAATTCATTAACAATCCACTTGATGCTGAAAAGTGGAAAACTATGTTACTAGATAAAACATTTTATCTCCTATAAGAGGAGCACTGTCAAAGGTTTCTTGAGTTACAAGCAAGGAAATTTTTACATCAACAAATTTACTGTATTTGTTTCAATTCATGTTTTCCCTTACATGTTTCACAGCTATGTAGTCTACACAAGAAATACAAACTCAAATATACTGAAACTAAAGTTCACCATGGCTTTACATTGCACACACAAGTAATATGAACCTCAGCTACTCCAAAGCTTCTGTGGAACTGAGGGCCTCAAGAAAAGAATATAAAAGTCTTAACTCTGATTGGTTCCTTTATTTTAACTCCATAGTGACACTTTTTAGGGAAATAAAAAATAGACATTCACGTACCTGCCATGCCAGTAACTGGTTTGGTTCAAGTTCAATAGCCTTCTTATATGCTCCTTTGGCCTGATCAGGTTGCTCTAACTCAGCAGCTGCCAGGCCAATGAATACCCAAGCATTGTAATTATTTTTTTCTTGCTTCAAGACTGCCTAGAGTTACACAATTTTAAGTGAAACTGATGAGAGAAATGTAACTTATAGATCCAGGTATTGCATTTTATCACTACAGTTTGGAGAATTATTCTATAGGGTAATCCTAGAAGTTAAGTAATTTTTAGGAAGACACTCATCTTTTTATGCCAGAAAATGCTTTATATCTGAAGTGTTTTGCTAGTAACCATATCTGTAGCTTAGCAGTTCAAGCACTCTTGTGAGGTCTGGATTACAAACTGATTTCTATTTCTCTCATTCTAGATTTAATACTCTTATCACCACATGTAAGCAAATGCAAAAGGAAGAGGAATTAAAGTTTATGCATGGGAAACTAACACGAATGATCAATGAAGTTAAATCTGAAAATCCATCTTAAATGTTATATCAATAAAGTACTCCACGCTTAGCAGAACCATACAGCTGTAGGGATATGGGAAGAGAAAAAAACCCTGCAAAATATTTACCTTCCAAGTAAAAAAATTCATTACCTTGCAATGTTTTAAGGCTTCCTTATATTCTTTATTTCGTATTGCATCTCTAGCACTCTTTAATGCTGCTTTCACCTCCTTATTTGACATTGTGGCTGCTAAATAAAAAAGACATATAATCAGTTCTCGTAAAAAGATATACTGACACATACAAAACGTTTATATCCTACTGCAGTTGCACAGAGAGCATTTTAAACACAGAAATATAGTGTAATATGCTAAAATGCATACAGCACTAACACCTGATAAATAAAAGTAACATGGGTAAAATTACTCAGGTTTAGCTCCAAGGCAGGATACCCTCAATATTCCAAACAGTTAAATGATACAAAGTAACTACCCCAGAATGAAACTTTTGTTACAGGTTAAGATAAATTTAAGTAGGAGGAAAGGTGTTACAAGAGGCCTTCATTAGACTTATGAGAAAAACATCCTGCATATAGTAATTCCTCTTTATAGAAGAAAGTAATCAGCAAACTGCACTTAAGCAGCATACTGCCCTGCATATGTGTTTAAAGGATTGCTAAGGATCAGGGCAGGGCTCTTCTTGCATGCTCCCTACAGCAGCACTATGGCCAGCCTGTCACGCTCTGGTGTGGCTCACCATGGTCCTCTCCCTTGACACACTCTTACTCCAGATTCTGCTTCTGGCTACAGCCGTGAATTGAAAAAGAATAAGTATTTCAGGACACATCAAAGAGACATCATGCTTTTGAACTCCAATAATCATACACTGTTTCAGTGTATGTGGTAAATATTTCGCCTTAAATAAACTTTAGAAACTCCACAGTCAAAGCTGCCTAGATGGGATGACACTGAGAAACAATAGCGCTGGTGCTAGCACCAAAAGAGATGGGAAAGGTGACCAAATGAAGAACAAAAAAACTTTTTTAGCAGCTGAAAAGCAGAAATAAAGAATGGTTGAAGAGCCCAGTGTTAATTTAGTAATGAAAGGACATGGGATGAGAATGAATTTCCAAGACTTCTTTAACACCTAAAAAGAAACCTGTTGAACTTGCATTGCTCAGCAGCTCCTGGAGATGATTTTGCTTTTACGAAGGCACTGACGTCTCGCTCATCAAAACCGCACCCTGCCGCGGGCACTGTCCAGCAGGAGCCCCACTGCCACCTACGGAGAAAATACACGTCGCTTCAGCGGAAAGCCTGGCACCGCGGAGGCGGTCAGTCCCTGGAGCAAGGCCGCCCAACCTGGGCCGCGGGCGGGGCCCTGGGCCTGCGGGGCCCTTGGGAAGCGATCCGCGCCCGCAGTCCTCCGAGCACAGCCGCTCGCCCGCCGCGGGCCGGGCGCCAGGCCCTCGCGGCAGGGAAAGCCGCGGCAGCTAAGCGGGGCCGCCACCACCGCCACCACGACCCTTCGCCACCCCCCTGCTTCACTCCGCCCACCAGCGCCCCCGCCACTTGGCACTGCCGACCGCGCGCAGGCGCACTCTTACCTCAGGACTGCGATACACCCAGTCAACCGCCATTTTTTCCGGGCACTGTGGGAGATATAGTTCCCGCCTCATGAGGCACCCTGGGAGATGTAGTCAGTCCTCCGCTCCGGGGCACCGTGGGAGTTGTAGGCCGCGGTGCGGCGGTGTCCTGCCCTTCGCTGCGACCGGGGCCCTGGGAGCTGCTTTCGGAGCTGCTGCTCCTCTCGGTCCGGGAGCGGGGGCCAGGGTGGCGGGCAATGCGGCGGCCGGGAGCCGCTGAGGCGAGCCGGGCTGGCGCTGCTCCTCATTGGCCGCCGGGGCGGGGGCGAGGCCGCGGCCCGCCGCTCCTGGGGTCCAAGCCCCGTCCAGCGTGGTGCTGGTGGCCTGCGACTCCTTGGTGAGTGGCTGGGGAGGGGGCAGCCGGCGGCGCGGGGTGGGCCGCCGCACGGGTGAGGAAGGGCGGGAAAACACTCGGCAGCGGCCCGAGTGGTGCCGCCGAGGATGCGGCAACGAGGCCATACCGGTGCCTTATCCAGGCTGGAGCCACAGGCGTGCGCCAACGAGGCTGGTTTTAGCTCTCCAGCACCTCCGCGGGGCGGAAGTCTCGCTTGGGACTACAAGGGCAGGCCTGCTGTGTCTCAGAGACACTCGGTAACCTTTAGTGTTTCAAACCAAACTCACCTTTCTTCCTGGAATCAGTTGCATCTGATTCATTACAATAGTCAGAAACCTCTGCACAGGTGGTTCCTCCGGTCTAGGGTGATACGTACAGCTTGTCACCACAACTTGGGGTAGAGAGGGGCATGTCAGCAGTACTGCAGGGCACGGCAGCTGCTACTGGAGCAGAGCTGGTGTGTACAGTGAATGCTCTTCTGTTGACTTGAAAAGCCGAAAAGAAAGTCACTTTAAACCCTGTTATCCTTGCTATTGTAAATCATAAGAACACTAGGTCTCCTCAAGAAATGGGATAGAGAATTTCTATATTCACAGATGAAATGACTGACTGTTGGTTTACTCAGGGCCTTATAAGGTATAACAACACAATAAACTTGTCAGATGTGTATCTACAGCTAAAAGAATAGAGGAATTAGTAGGTATCTAGTGGCTTCATTACAGTGATTTATTGATGCATTTGGTTTAACACCCAGACAGGTAGAAAAGACTTTTTTATTTTTTCCACTAACTAATACTAAGTATGTTTCCTTGGACACACCTGAAGACAGCACATTTTTCACACTTTTCTCACCATGCTTCTAATTGCCCACCCAGCATACTGGAAGTGCATTGATGTAGGTTTTACTCTGAGGAGTAAAACCAGGCAGGTTTCTCTGCCTCATATGAGCTCTCCTAACTGTGGAATCAAACATAAGCTCTGTGGTATTACTTCCAAGGGCTTTCATATCTCATTGCTTCTCAATCACTGTTGAGAAGTCTTGATTCCTGGCCTTCTCAGAATTCCATCCTTGACTGCACAGAACACTTGACTTCTTGCCTGCTGTCTGAGCTTCTTGGGATGAATTCTTCCTAAATATTTGGTAAATGTGTATTATCTTTTTTCAAACCCTATCTTAAAAGACATACACTGTGATTTCAAAGATAAAGAAATAGCTTCTTGTGTACTAATGCAATAGCACTGTATAGACTTTCTTTGTCTCTATTCTTTGTTTATTTTATTTTGATTATATAATCTCTCTTAAAATTGCAAAGTAATGCATGCTTTTTCTCCAAATGTTCGGCTTTTACTAAAACTGTTATTTACCAATAGTTGAATTTACAATATTTATGGTCCTTGGGTTGGTCAATGTCCATTTTTGTCTCCAGATACTAGCAGAAGCTGCAGACAAGTCTTAGTTGTACTTCTCTATGTCACCTGTAAACAGGAATATTTTCATTACTATATTACAGGGATTAATGAGGTAAGCCTTACAAAAAAGAAATGTAAAATCCCAGATGTTTTGAAATTCTTACATAAACGATCAAGAACAAAGTGCTGTTTTTGAAAAGTGTCATGTCTACATGGTGCATACAAAGAATATGTTAAAGGTTGTGTTGTGTAAGTTTTTTTTTTGAGATGGGTTTGAAGGCAGAAATAGATTAACCATTTTCATTACATCACTAGTAGAGAACAGGTACTGTTGAAACTAACAGTTTTTCTGGAAAAAAGAGGTTAAGTCTTGCAAGCTGTTGAAATGTCTGGGCTTTCATTAGAAAGTGTGCCTGCTTTTGTTGTGGGTCATGCTGCCTATGAAAGATGCACACCTATGTTGTCAAGTGTGACAAAAGTTTTCTTTTCAGTGATACTAGACTGTGTTTGGCCTCCTGAACAGTGACCTTTTACTTAACAGCCAGCTTTCTGCTGCTGTGTCACATCAGGCATTGTGCTTTTTGCACGTTTCCTGGAGGAATGTGCTAGCAATTCGGCTCCTGAATTGCTGCTTGAAGTAAACTGGATGATGTGAGGCTTTGCTTGCAGTGCTGCTCAAGTTCCTGCTCAAGATTAAATGTGCTTGTTTGTGTTAAAACAATTTTATTTCCTTAGGTATGTCAAAACCTGCAAATTTTACATAATTCTTAGAGGACAAGTTTCCAGAAATAGCTTTTGAGCTTCTCAGCCTGTTCAAGAACAGAACTTTCACTGAATACCTGCATCACCTATAGAAACAGTCATCATGTCTCAGTATAGGAAGTATACCATGACACAAAGTATACAGAATTCTTTTGCTAATGTCTCACTGAATATTGTGTCACAGTATCAATATAATGAACTCTTATCTCCAGCTGTGCAAACCGTTGAAGAAACTTAAGAATATATTGTTGATGGGATTATGCATCAGTTGTGTACTTTTGTCACGGTTTAGGAATGGTATGCACTGCAAACCACATGCTGCTTGCTCACTCTGCCTTCTCTCTCACCCTTCCCTGTGGTGGGCTGGAGAGGAGAATTGGAGGCACAAAAGGTAAACATCATGGGTTGAGATAAGAACAATTTACTGGAAACAGCAGTGAGATAAGGAACAGCAACAGTATTAGTAAGAGACAGTACAAGAGAGGCCAGCGATTCACATGTGAATGCTCACCCCTGGACCATGCAGAGCCTGACAATACTGGAGCCCAACAATACTGCTACCATGCTACCCTCACCCAGAAGGGACACCTTTTCAGAAAATGACATGAGGTAATATAAAATAACCTCCATGTCCTAGCCATACCCCTTCCAGCAAAAATTAGCCCTGTCCTGGCTGGAACCAGGACAACTTTCTGAGGAGCACTTTCAGCCCAAAATTTCTTTCAAGTTCCTGTTGCAGATTACAGCTTTACTTCCAGTTTGTCCTACTGAGTGCTTGTTTTAGTTGCCTTTTGTAGTAGTGTATAAAATTAGGTGATGACTTGTTTGTCATGTTCTGATTTCAGAGGCTGGGGTGCCAGCTCTACTGATGCCAAATGAAGTGACTCTCTCTACTATGCCATGTTGTCCCAGAGTATTTCTGCCAGAAAAAGTATGGAGGGAATTGCTTTCTTCTGCAGTTAAAACTGTGCAGATTCGCTGTCACCTGCCTGTACACTGAAGAGCCAGTCAGGCTTGGACTGTGTTGGGACATCTTGCTGAACCAGGATAGGAAAGGAAATAAAGTGACTGGAAAGGAAAGGAATAAAAGTGACTGGAAAAAACAATTACCTGAAATAGAGCAGTCTGCATGCAACCTGGTTTCAAGTGATTATAACTTTTTACTGTAAAAGTACCTATTTGAAATGGTTTGTCTTTTTAAAATTACTGATTAAAAACTTTATCCAAACAAAAGGCAAAAATTAAATTATCAATATGCAAGTATCAAAAGGGAACCACTGTGCATGGCATATCAGTGGGAGAATAGCCTTTCTTAAGCTTTCTCAGTACTTTTCCAGTACGTAGGTTAAAATAAGTTCGGAGTTGTGATGTGGATAGACCTTTAAAAATTATGAGGGTTCAGGGGTGGTTTCATAGAAATATATACTAGTGCACATCTGTGTTAGGATTCAGCTTGACTCCTTGTCATCTTTCACTGTACCTATTCCCATTGAATGTGTCATCGTAGGACCCTACTCCCTAAAACTGAAGCTTAGAAAATGTATAGTGATGGAAAGGAATTAATTTTACTATGAAGAAGCCCAGTTATCTTTTATGTTGCACTTTTTCATAAGTAATCCATTTTATATTGATCTAATTAAAGCTTCTCGACAATATTTTTCATACCTGAGTAGAAATGGCAGCATTTAAGCAAGTTCAGGGTAACTAGTGGTTTGACCCTAGCCAGGTACCTGGATGCCAGGTACCCACTAAAGCCACTCTCTCACTCTCCCTTTGCAACTGGACAGAGGAGAGAGAGGAAAAAAAAACCAACTAAGGATTCATAAGTTGAGATAACAGTTGGGAGAGATCAGATACCTTCATGGGCAAAACAGGCTCAAAGTGGGGGTATTACCTAAATTTATTACTAACAGGGTAAGAGCCACAGATTGAGAAATAAAACAATCTTAAAAACATCTTCCCCCCACCCCTCCTTCATTCCATGTTCTCCCTCCCCCCCAGCAGTGCAGGGGGACGGGGAATGGGGGTTATGGTCGGTTGTTGTTTCTGCTGCTGCTCAGGGAGAGGAGACCTTCCCCTGCTCCTGTGGGGTCCCTCCCGCGGGAGATAATCCTTGATGGGTCTCTCCAACGTGAGTCCATCCCTCAGGCAGCAGTTCTTCCCAAACTGCTGTCCCGTGGGTCACTCCTCCATGGGGTGCAGTCCTTCACCAATGAGCTGTACTGACGTGGGTCCCCCACAGGGGCCACAAGTCCTACCTGGGAAAAACCTGCTCCAACGTGGGCTTCCCTCTCCACGGGCTGCAGGTATCTGGCAGGACCCTGCTCCATCCTGGGCCTCCCATGGAGCCACAGCCTCCTTCAGGCATCCACCTGCTCCAGCATGGGCTCCTCCATGGGCTGCAGGTGGGTCTCTGCACCCCGATGGTCCCCCATGGGCTGCAGGGGCACAGCTGCTCCACCATGGTCTGCACCACAGGCTACAGGGGCCTCAGCTCTGGTGCCTGGAGCACCTCCTGCCCCTCCTTCTGCACTGAACTTGGTGTCTGCTTTGTTGTTCACATGTTCTCACTCAGCTCTTCCCTGGCTGGAATTCTTCCTGTGCAACAACCTTCTGTTCTTAACTATGTTATCACAGAGGTGTTATTATCAGTCCTAATTGGCTTGGCCTTGGCCAGCAGAAGGAAGCCCATCCTGGAGCTGGCTGACATTGGCTCCATGGGACAGGGGAAGGTTCTAGCAGCTTCTAACAGAAGCCACCCCTGTATCTCCCCCCCCAGTACCAAAATCGAGCCACAGAAACCCACTACAGTAACAAATCTATGAATTAATGCAGCCAATAGTTTGTGGTAATGGTTGTTTATATGTTGTTTTTCTCTGATTGCAGGATGGACGCTTGACATTTTTTCCAGGAAATCAGACTGTGGATTTACCTTCCATAAATTTTATGAAAAGATATGGCACTGTCTTTCTCAATGCCTATACCAATTCTCCAATTTGTTGTCCTTCGCGTGCAGGTAAAAGCAAGCGAAACATCAGATAAATGCTTGCACATGTCAATTTAAATATATGGTAATGATGGGAAATGTCAAAGCTTTTAATTGAGGGGGACTTGTTTTGTTTTTCTTTTTTTTTTTCTAGTTTGTATCTGAATTTTTACAGTATTCTCCTGTTTCATCTGTTTCTCTTTCCTGTTTCTTATGCTTCCTCCTTTCTTTTCATTTTTTGTACTGTTTTTTTCAGGTAAGTATAAGCTTCCAAATCTTTTCGCAAACTCCACTGAAGCTTCAGATTTTTAAAAAATCATAGAATCATAGACAGGTTGGAAAAGACCTCTGAGATCATCAAGTCCAACCCTTGATCCAGCACCACTGTGGTTACTAGACCATGGCACTCAGTGCCACATCCAGTCTCATCTTAAAAACCTCCAGGGACGGAGAATCCACCACCTCCCTGGGCAGCCCATTCCAATGTCTGATTACTCTCTCTGTAAAAAATTTCTTCCTAGTATCCAACCTAAACCTCCCCTGGCACAGCTTAAGACCATGCCCTCTTGTCTTACTGCTGGTTGCCTGGGAGAAGAGACTGATGCTGAATGAAGTGATGGCTGTTATCACTGTCTTCCAATGACATTTATTCCAAACACACTTTTAGATACATGATGTATCTTTCAGTAGCTTTAATTGAATTCTTCAGGATTTTTCTTTACTTAATGCACTTGTTTTTCTTTGTTCAATTTTAGTTGCAGAATTTGCTGGGAAGACAGAAAGAAACTGTATTCCTCAATCTTAAAATGTGTCTAGTCCTTTCAGTTGCAAAGACCACCCCTCATCTGTAGCTGTGAGGGGGATCCTTTCTCTCAAAGCATACACTGGATGAGACAGCAGGCAAAGGCTGTCAAATATAGTTTTACATTTTTAGTATTCACTTTATTGATAACCTTTTTCTCAAGGTCCCATTTTAAGTGAGCGAGGTTACATGAACAAACAGTCTTTTTTTCTTTTTCTTGATTTTTGTATCTTTCAGCCAATTTTTGTTGCTGAGAGTAATAACTTTGTGTTATTTAATCTTACCAAGTTTTGTGAATATGGCAGCTATTGCTCCCAGTGATGAAGACTGTGTAGCATTTTGGGTGGCTGTGGCCACTGGTCAGTCATCACATGTGGGGCTCTGAACCAGCAGGACAGCTTTTGTTTAGCCAGTGGCTTACAAAAAGCTGCAAGGAAGTGAGGGTACATCTCATATGGAGGTGTTGGGGATGATACCAGAGGACATGGTGGGAAAGAGGACTTTGGGGTGGGGAAAGAGGAGTATTGCCATGTGGGGTTGATGCACTATGCTTACAGGATATTTTTATTGCTTGTGGAATGACTTAGTTTCACTTTAGGATTCCCTTTAACTCTAAATTAGTGAGTGAAAGAGTGAACAATTCTCAACAAGCAGTAAAGAAATAGCTATTGACTAAAACAATCTTCTGTTATAGTTCCTTTGCAACTCTTCCCTTGGTTTCATTTCTTCTTGGTATCTTAAATATTCTCACTTTGTTTCTGCAGCTGGTAGTGAAGTACATTACCTAAAAAGGATAAAATTGAGGGCATATGTTTTTTATGAAAACATTATATTCTTATTCCCTTCACAAATATACCTAAACTCATATTAAAATCTAACTGTAGTAAGGGGAAATAATACTCTGAAAAACATGTAAGTAGAGGACTGTTGGATTGGGATCTGTACTACCATACCATTTTCTTTCAGAAATCAATAAGAATATTTTCTGGTCTAAGAAAACCTTGACTTAGTGATTGCTTAGCACCTGGAAGGATGGGACCTTCTTTTGCAATTCTGGGGATTATTTGAGTAAATTTTGTTACTTATATTGATTATGACAAGATTTGAAAGAGTAATACTTTGTATTTCTTGCTCTATTGGATCACAATGTGGACTTCTAACCTCTGTAATAATGAGAAGATTAATCCCTCCTCAGGTATACAGGTAGGGAGTACCAATTACTCATCAAAATTTTATTTTTTTCCCCCAGCTATGTGGAGTGGTCTTTTCACCCATTTAACAGAATCTTGGAATAACTTCAAAGGTCTAGATCCAGATTACGTAACATGGATGGATCTCATGGAGAAGCATGGCTACCACACACAGAAGTTTGGGAAATTGGACTATACTTCTGGACATCATTCAGTTAGGTAATCAGATAGATTTTTCTGCTATGTAATGGACAGTAGTGAACAAACCATGTAATGATCTGTTACATGATTTCTATCTCTGATTGAAATAGTAGTAGCTTTAATTTAAAAGAAATTGTGCTAGATACCTAACAGAGATCTGTCCTGCAACTTTATGCAGAAGCAAGCATATCCCATGCACCTGTATGTGGAAGGTGATATCAAAACTGGTTTTGCCCAACATGAATGGTTATTTTTTATCACTGGTATTGCTCCCTAAGTGAAATTCATAAACCGTTTTTGCCTTGCTTTGAGACTTCCTGGCTTCTGCGTTATACTAGCAGTGTAAGAAAAGCAGAACAAAAAAACATAATTATAATAATTTAATATTAAATCTATCATCACAAAACATGAGAGGTTTTGTGGGGTTTTTTTGAAGGCCATAAATGTTCACAGATTTGTGCTGTTGTGGTGGGTTGACCCTAGATATACACCAAGTGCCCACCAAAGGTGCTCCATCACTGCCCTTCCCCATCTGGGCAGGGAAGAGAAAATATAATGGAAGACTTAATGCTGAAAATAAGGATATAGAGAGATCACTCAGGCACACAGGCAAAACAGACTTAACTCAGAAAAATTAATTTAATTTTTTGCCAATTAGAATTCAGAACAAGGCAATGAGAAGTAAAATCAAATCTTAAAACACCTTCCCCCACCCTCCCCTTCTACCCAGGATCACTTCACTCCCAAATTCTGTACCTAATCCCCTCAGCAGCATAGGGGGACAGGGAGCGCAGACTGTGCTCATATGTTGTCTCTACCTCTCCTTCCTCCTCAGGGAGAGGAGTCCTCACATTCTTCTGCTCCAGTGTGAGATGCCTCCTGCAGGAGACAGTCCTCCACACACTTCTCCAATTCCTTCCCATGGGCTGAAGTTCTTCACGAACTGCCTCACTGTGGGTCCCTTCCACGGGATGCACTCCCATCTCCTCTGGCTGCTGATGCTGTGCAGTTTTCCCCTCTCCTCCTTAAATATGTTATCCTGCAGGCACTACCACTGTTGCTGATCGAGATCGGCCTTGGCCGGTGGTGGGTCCATTTTGGAGCTGGCTGGCATTGGCTCTAACTGAAAAAATTACTGTGCCAGTAAGAGATGATTTACCATGCAAAACCAATAGAGCTGTACTTCCTATGCTTTAAAGCTTACTGTGACTAGGAATTACAAAAATTAATGAAACATAGTTAAACATTTAGAGAATAAGTGCATTATTTTAAAAAAAGAATAATCATAATATGTCTGGATAGTTGGGACAAAAAATGGTGTCTTCCTTCTATGTAGTTTTTATGAAGGTGCTCTATCTCACTGATTAGTAATGATGTCTGTTGTTGAAATAATATAAAGAGTAGTTTTTTCTTTTATATTAAACAGGTTAGAGTTCCCTCAGTAAAATGAGCTGTTAGAAGTTGAAAGGTGACATAAGTAGTTACTAGTATGTTAAGCAACATTAAGATGGTTGCTTATGGGTATGTATACACTGCTTTTAATGACAAAATACTTGATAGATAGTATCCACTTCAGAATCTGGCCAAAGTAATACTTTCCTCTCAAGTTTAAGACTGTCAAAAAAGAAAAAGCAAGCTTTTTTCCCATTTTTCTGTATACCAGTTCTATGCTGCATGTAAGGGATTATTCAAATGACTTACAGCAAAAACTTCATGTTTACTTATTTTACCAGAGAGTGTACATATTTGTATGTTTCTTATGCTTCTTGCTTGTCACTGTCTGCGGCTCTTCTTAATAACTTAGCATATGATTGTTATCTGATGGGTGTTCAAACTCTGTTCTTTTTTTCATTATTCTGCATTTTTCTTGATTTTATTTATTCTTTCTGGTGAGAAACAAGTACTTGTACAAGGTACAAAGTACTAGAAAGTTGTCCGTTGCAGTATTGTTCTTATTCATTGTACCTCCTTGTATGAATGTTGTGAAATTCTTCTCTCTGGCAAGAAACAACATTAAGATGGTTGCTTATGGGTATTTGTGTATTTGTAGCATAGAGATTATTTGTTGTGACTATCTCAGGCATTCATACTTTTCAAAATAGTCTTAAGAGCATACTGTAAAGTGCCAGTAAGAGATGATTCTTTGAGATGGCAAAGGGACAGATTTTGTTCTGTGTAATGAAGCAAGACAAATGATTCTGTGGGTGAATCATGCTTCAGCATTTCTAGAATTGATTTTTAGTAAAGTAATATTACCCAACAAATGAAAATTACCTGCTGTAATATACAGACGCTTTTACTTCTCTTCTGAATCACTTTTGTGCAGAGAAAATTCTGTGTTGCCTAAATACTAGTAGTATACATTCACCCTGCCCTTCACTGAGATAGAAGAAATGTAGCATAACATTGAAATATGTTTAATCTGTAAAGTCACTTCAGGTTTAAAGAAGAGCAGCTCTAAATAATTCTAGAATTTCATGGCTGTTCATGTGATAAGTGGAACATGAGGTGGCACTGAAATAAAGTTGTATGTAAGTGCCTGGATTCCAGAAGTATTGCTTTCATTGTCAGCCATTGTAGGTGAACTCTGACTCCAGACTGAGGTGTGCAAAGCTGAACTACTCCTTAGTTCTCAAATAAATTCTATTGCGTAAGAAATAATGCAAAGAAAACTGTAATGTAAGACTATATAGAAGAGGAATGTAATTTTTATGTTGCTTAATTTTTTTATGTCGGTAAAGTGTGCCAGCTCACAGTCTCATAGCCATAAACATACAAATACTAGTTCATGTTCAAATAGTCTGAACAAGATTTCTGACATGTCATAGGGTAACTGATGTCACCTGATGAGATCTCTCCTATTTTTGTGTTGATCGGCAATGATGAAATGGCATTTTCCCTAGGTATTTTACACTTTGTAGGAGTGAGAAGTTGATATGGCGTGATATTTTAACATGAAATCTTGGTGGCTTTAGTCTACAGGAACATTAGTCAAATACCCTTTTTGTTTACTTATTACAACTATCCTATTTTACTCTGCTCATTCAAATAACAGAAAGAGAAATGGCATACGGAGTGCATGATGAACTGGTTGCCATTCTGCTATCAGAATGCTGCTGACTCATCATCTGTACAGTGATCTTAACATTGAAATCCCCTTCTTCAGTACTGATCTGTTTTGCTGATGTCATTCATGTTCCCTCACTATTGATGCTTTAAGCTTGCTCTCATTATGTCTGGTACTCTCACATTTGCATGGTTCTCATTGTATTATTCTAAATTCTAATTTTGTCATGAGTCTTCACAGATGAGAAACAAATTAAGCCAGTTCAGTGCTTTTCAAAATGGCAGCATCAGTATCAGTGGAGTTACGTTGGTGTGCTTTTATTTTCCTCATTCTGGCATGTATCTACTTCAGTGATGATAGGATTTGAGTCTCACAAACAAAAATTATGATATAACCATATAATGACATCATGTTTGCGTAAGTCTTGGTCCCATGAGGCTAAATTTAGGCACTTCAGATATAATAGGAAAATACTGTGAAGTCTATGGTATTGCAGTTTTTAATTATCTTTTTTTCTATGTCTTGACCCTACCTTTTCGCCTACTACAAACTTTTTATACGTTTGTTTTGACTTTCCGTTCAGTGAAAGTTTGAGATCTGTACTTAATGTTATTTGAATAAGTGCAGGTAGTGGTTGAGAATAAATGAAAATAAACGCATAGTTAGTCAACCTTTTACACCTACACAAGACAAATTTGAAAATGGCAATTTACAACATTTTTAATCTAAAAAATGAAAACTACAGATACAATTCCTCAGTCAGAGAAAAATGCACATCTTGTTCCCAGCATGGCGTCTGTGTAGACATTTGAAAACCCTAAGTAGCCGGTAATCTCTCAACAGCGTAGAGGACTTATAACAAAGATTCCTGTTTGTTGTGGAGATAATTAAAATGTCCTGCTGTTTTAATTTCCTGTTAAAAGGGAGACTAGCAAAGGGACATAGTTCAGCTAGTGCAAGATTCAGCATGCAGTATTATCTCTTTAGAAATTTAGAAGTTTTTCTTAAGCATATATGTTGCTTCTTTGGACAATAAAACCACTTCTGCTCCCTAATCCCATGTTTACCTACGTAAAAAAAAACTTGTTAACTTTTCTGCTTCAACAGTTAGGTTAGGTGACATAAATCAATTCTACTTTGTTCTAACCTATTGCGAATAGTTCATTGCTAACACATCTCTCTAACTATGAAAGTTTATGTATCTTAAAAATACAAATGTATAATGAAAAGGAGCCACTTGAATGTGACTTCCTCATAAGATAATTTTTCACAGTTGTGAATTAATGAGATTTGGAGAAGAGGTTTCCTAGGAAATATATGCTAACACAGTGAAAGAACTGAATCTTCAGCCTCTGGACTGTAGTATACATCAAACCTCTGCTTCCTGTCAAAAAGACTCCATGTATGCTTTTGAGTATTGATGGCTATTTCATTTAAAATAAGTGTAATTACTGACTCTCATGTAGTCACTTTCATTTGGGTCAATAATGATGGTAGTTCATTATGGTGTGTCTTCAATGTTGCATTGCTATATCCTTTATATATGGCTTTTTTTGGTTATATATTTGTTACAATCACTGGAGTACTATCTGCTAGCAAAGGAGATGTGATCTCTTTTCATTCCCATTGAAAAAGTGGAAAATTGACCTTAACTTCCAAAGGTCTTAAATAATTACCTGTCAAGTCCTTGCTCTTTCATTTTAAACTGTAGATTTGGGTCTAGTATTGCACTCTTCTTCAGTACTCCACCTGGCTTTTTGAAGAGCCTTATTTTGGCATTTCCTGTTCTGCCTGAGGATTAGTTTTCCTCTTGGATGTGTCAAAATGACTCCTTTGTTGCTCCAGAATGTGGAAAGGGTCTGAAGTGGGATTTTATTGGAGTTTTTTTGTGGGAGTGGTTTTGGTTTGGATTGGGTTTTTGAGTTTGGTTTTTTGGTTTTGGGTTTGGGTTGGGTTTTTGGGGGGGATTTTTTTGTTCTTCAATTTTGAGAGGATTTTGTTCTTTTAATTTGATCCTAGTCTCAGTCTGACTGGATAATCTGACTGGTTTATGGTCTACATAATATTTTTTTAAGTTTAAGTCAGTATTATGGCATTAGATGCAATTTTACACACACACTCCTTTACCATAATTTCATTTCAGTGTTTGTGCAACATGCTTTCTCTGTGGACCATCTAGCAACCTTTATTTATTCTAAGTAATTTGTTTAAGCCTGTTTAGCTTGGAAGTGTGAGCCTAAACAAGAAGTTAAAATAAAAAAGAATTGTTACAGATAATTCTGAATAGCTTTTCTGGAGGTTAAAAGTGCACTGGTAAAATTCCTGTGGGGATAAAACTGGTTAGGTGCTCTCTAAACAATAATAGTGCTTTGTTTGGATTTAAGCGTATGATCAAATTTTCAGCAGTTTCATACTTCCTTTTAGAATTTCTTTTGTTTTACTGAAATTGCCATGAACAAGGTAAAGATTAGTCAAGGTCTTAGATGGGCTGTTTCCTCCCTCAGTTGTAGCATCATTCATTCTAGCAAAGAAACAAGGCCATCTACAACTCAGATTTCCCAGTGTTTTGGAGAGGTAATAATTGTCATGGCATTAGAAAATCTGTTCCAAAAGTATTTTATCATTAAAATATTGCCTTTTTTCCCCCCTTCTTGCTTTCTCTACACGCTTCTCCTCAATAGCATTTATCAACTACATCTAAAGTAAATGAACAAGATAAATCACTCTTACAGATTTTTGTCTTAAGTGTGTTTAAAAATGTTGTTTCTAAAGGCAGCCTCACCAGGCAAGTTATTTCTCATTGAATCCTTTTCAATAAAAAAAATCTAAGACCCTCCTTACCAAATAAATAGCATGTGAATCCATGCCAGAATGCAGAGCAGTGTCAATAAGATGGAGATTCTATTTCTAAATATTATTTTTTAGATGTGAGAAGAGCTCTTCTGACATGAAGTGATAATAAATAAGAAAGAAGATTCAGAAGCAGGAAAAAAAGGCTGAAAGTTGGAGTATAAAATAGAGGCACAATAGCTATAGCTCAATTGAATAACAATTTTCCTTTAGGTAGGAATTACAGATAGATTGCAGCTAAAAGTATAGGAAAGGTTTTCAGGAATTCATAATGCTTTTTGCTTGGAGGAAAAGTGAAGAAAACATTTTCTGCTGAGTATGTATCTTGTGTATGTATTTTCAGTAACCGTGTGGAAGCTTGGACTAGGGATGTTCACTTCCTGCTCCGGCAAGAAGGGAGACCCATGGTAAATCTTACAGGTGATAGGAAGCGGGTTAGAGTGATGGAAGCAGATTGGCGGAATACTGATAAAGCAGTAAACTGGATAAAGGAAGAAGCTGTTAACCTTACTCAACCATTTGTTCTTTACTTGGGACTAAATTTACCACACCCATACCCATCACCCTATGCAGGAGAAAATTTTGGATCCTCTACATTTTTAACATCTCCCTATTGGCTTGAAAAGGTATGTGAAGATGAAATTTCAATATGAATCTACTAATAACTGTACTTTTTACATACAGTATTTTATTCCTGATTTTTCAAGCCATACTGAGTTTTCATATTTCAGTATACAGTAAGAAAGATGTGTTAGATTTCTGATTTAAGGCTAGGCAAATAGAAGGGACAAATTCCTCTCTGTTGTAGGAAAGGGTTTGTAGCAGTAGTCACTGAATCAATAAAGAAGTTTGGAGTTGAATGGCCAGAAATGTAAAAAGAACAAAATTATAGCTGTCAATTATTTTCAGTTAATGGTCTGAAGTTCATTGTTACGAATATTCTGTATTCTTCTTGTTATAAATGATGTTATAGGTAACCATTTTGTCTGAGTTTTACGGTGAAAGATTAACTTTTCCTGCAGTATGAACCTAGACCATGAAGCAAAATAAGACACAACAGAAGTCTTTGTTTTTTGTTAACTTTTCCTTTGCTACTGTGGGTTTGCAATGATTTTAGAGGACAAAAAAGTCCCATTATGTCTGTATATGTAAAGCTAACAAATACCACTTCATTTCAAAGAAGAAATACTTTTTCCTCTATTTTGTATGGTCTCCAGTTGCCATTATCTGCCATAAAATATGAATATGTTACAACAGATTGCATTGCAGAAAGGCATGAAATATTCTCTGTAACTGAAGCACTAGAATTAGGTTAGAAAAGACTTTATACCTCAGAAAAACTCTTCATATGCAGTGTGTATAATTTGTGGCCTTCTCTAGTGGAGAACTGCTAAATATCTAGGTGCACCAAAAATACAAATACTTACAGAAAAAGGTATACAAATGAAGGTTGTATTTCTTTGAATTTCTTCGTAATAGTGAGGATTGTGGGTTCTTTTGGGAATGGTGAAAAGTTCGTGGGGAGAGGAAGAACATGGAGAAAAACCCTTCATTTACAAAAACAAGATCTAGCTTAGTTATTAAGGAAAACTTGCTAGGTGCTAATTGCTAGGTTAGATGTGTCCTGGGAAGGGGTGGCTACCATTTTCAAGTCACAGACAGAGTTATAACATCTCTGACAAATTTTTGTGTCATCCTTAATCCAGTTAGAGAGAGTACTTAAACTCCATAGTTTGCTGAGGTCCTTTGCACAACTACATATGCATACTGTGTTGTGTGAACTACATATTATCATTTATTGAACACTGGCTGGTTCTTCTGGGATGTAGCTGTATTTTGGTCAGGAAGAAGCAGTCTTTGAAAATCACAGAGATAATCTCATGAAGAAGTTTGATTGCATAGATGAAGAACTGAATTAAATGTCCTGTTTACTGGGGCTCTAATACAGAACTGAGTATCAACATGCTATGTTTGCGAAACCTTGTGTTGTTAAGCAGATGGTCCCCTGTATTTTGCACAAGCTGTCACTTTTTCAGGGCATCTGGCTTCTTTCCTAGCTATGAATTACTGTATATAGACAAAAGGATTATGACTTTGTGCATCCAGGTTGTAGTTCTGTAGAAAGAATCATGGATAGAGAGGGACACTTTTTGCTCCCATTATATCTTAAGAAGCTAATAAATACAATTTGAGAAGTCTAAAATGTAACTTTATGTAGCCAAGTACCTTAAGCAGTAGGAAGATGACTGCAGCAGTTGTCTGCTATTATTTTATCTTCCGTGATTTCTTCTAGCAGCCTATTTTCTGTAGAGCCTAAGGAAACTCAGATTTTGGTGTGTTTGTTTGAGTATTACAAAGCCAGGTTTTATGCCTGTGGGCACTTTAACTCTTGCAGTCTTACCAACTTGTTTAGCTGTCAGTCTGTTCCTCCAAGTAACAAGTGATAGGATGAGAGGAAATGGCCTCAAATTGCACCAGGGACCATTTAGATTGGATATTAGGAAAAATTTCTTCACCGCAATACTTGGCAAGCACTAGAACAGGCTGCCCAACGTAGTGGTGGATTCACCTTTCTTGAAGGGATTTAAAAGACATCTAGATGTGACACTTGGGGACACGGTTTAGGTGGTGGGCTTGGCAGTAGTGGCTTAATGGTTGGGCTTGATGATCTTAGGGGTCTTGTCCAACCTTAATGATTCTACGACTCTATGGCTTAATACATCTGCTAGATATTAAGAGATAATATTGACATTGTGGAAGGTGGAATGTTGTGGGTATTGGAACACAAGGACATTAACATATGGTCAAAGATATACCATAGGCTCAAGAGACAGGCACTGTACTACAAGCTCCCCAGGCAGCTCTTCATTATCCATACTTGGCCATGTGTTCCAGTACAACATGGGATTGATACTCCAAGTAAACAGGAATGTAATGTTTCCAGGGACAACTTTGATCTGATTGCTTTTGTGCTGTACAGAGCCTCTTGGACAGGAAGTATCTCAGTTATTTTATCAGGAACCAGTGTTGCCCATGTTTGGGGCCAGCTGAGTTGTGGAGCTGTGACTGCAGCCCCGGGAATGTGCTCCACAGACACTGGAGTTGCTGTGCCATAATCTAGTCCTCAGATCTGTTTGTTAGAGATTTTCAGAGGTAAACAAAGGCAACAGGTGTGGGTTTAGTTTTTAATAAATTTAAGTTTTCCATACTAAGATTACATCTTCTCTGCTTTTTGTGGTAATTTGTGCTTTAAGTCTATTATATAGAAATTATTAACTGTTAAATGCAGCACTTACATAAGGGAATGCTTATAGGTATGACAGCCTAGGCTAAATGTATATGTCAAACTTGGAGGCTCTAAATCTAGTACTGCAACACACAATATCTGTGAGTATGCCAGTGTAAATATACATATCCATCACTACTTGAAATGTATTGGCTTCTTAGTATCACACTGATCTTGCATTTCTTTATAAGTAAATGGTTGACATCTGTACAAACAAGTAGAAAAGTATTAGAAAATTGGATTAATATAGTCAGTTCTTTTCTTCAAGATGTCAAGACTTGTCATCACTGTCCTGGAGACTTTCCCAGACTGCATGAATTTCCATGTCGTCCCACATAACACCCAATCTTTTTGTTACATGAGGTTTATAGTTGTCATACAGTTAATGAAGACACTATGCCAATACTTCTGTACTTATTCGGGAGTACAGTTCTAGAAGACTGTTCTGTGCTCTCTCTCTTAAAATAATACAACAGCTGGTAAAGCACACATTTCTGGCTCCTAGCCTTAGTTTCTAGATGATTTTTTACAATTACTTGCTACCTGTGTAAGCCGCAGTGAAGTACAGACAAGGTAGCAGCACCACATAACAGATAAGCAGGTGGTGTTTCCTGGACCGTAAACTGAGAACTGTGCATTTATGTGAGAAAGTTTTTAATTAAATCTGTGTTAAAAAAATGTGTTTTATTCAGTTGCTAAAGTGATGGTTATTTCCTCTTATTTTTAGGTAACCTATGAAGCTATTAAAATACCCAAGTGGTCTTCTCTCTCTGAGATGCATCCAGTAGACTATTACTCATCGTACACCAAGAATTGCACAGGAGAGTTTACAGAGGAAGAAGTGAGAAATATTAGAGCATTTTATTATGCTATGTGTGCAGAGACAGATGCCATGCTGGGTAGGTAATATTTCATTATACAGTGAGTTTTCTAGTTTTGCTCTTTTAAGGAAAATGCTGATAGGGCTGATCCTTGGGGAAAAAATAGAAAACAAACCACCTCAATTCAGACCTGGGAGTAAGTTGTTGCTTAATCAGTCTATATGACAAATAGTGGGATAGCTTATAAGGTTCTTGCAAGGTGAATTCAGTGCACTCTGAAAAGTAGTCACAACCACAAGTCAGAGGCTCTGTTGAAAACCAGCAGCAAAACATTGCATGACCCATGTACAAGAGGAACTAAATGCTCTCTGATTAAATGCTAACTGGATTAAATGGAAACATTTTTGTGGAGGAGACAGACTGACAAAGAAGAACTGTAAGGAAAGATAATTTTAGTGCATAAGTAGTTCTTAGAGATTGATTTCAAATGTGTAGACTGGATAACAGCTGTTACGTGTAGACTAAACAATAAGGTTACATTTGGAGTGTCCCTTAGCAGCATATTATTGACAGTTAAGAAATAATTCATTAGACTTTCAGAATTCTTCCTAGTTTGCCATAAGGTCTACATACACAAAAATGACAATGCAAATTGGTCTTAATTTATTTTGTTTCTTAATTTGAAAAGTGACCATGAATGAACAAGAATTTACTTGCCTACTAGTATGAAATTCATGAATAAATAAGCTGATCTTTTAGACATGTTAGGCTGATAAATTGAATTCAAAGACGCAGAATTGCTCTTCCTCATTTTATGAATGAAAAGAGATCAGTGGAAGCCTGACAGTTTTAGGGAATGAAGGGACTGCAAGCTGGGGTGTTCGTTTTGTAATGTATTTTGACCAGTTTGTTTAAGAAAGAATCATTCTAGTGTTTTAATATTTAAGATGCATAAGTGCTTTGCTTAATTACTGACTTCATTGATCTTGGCCCTGTCTTTGTTGCACAAATGTACATGCAAAAGGAGAGGAGTGTATGTCATATCTTCATTGCACAAATGTATGTGCAAAAAGAGAGGAGATTTCAGCCCTCTGACTAGGGGATTCCTAGAGGTTTACATGCTGCTTTGCAGGTACAGAAGTTGGAAGAAGTATTTTCAATGTATCCTTTTCAGTACCTTTTTGTCGTTGCAGGTGAGATTATTTCAGCTCTGCGAGATACGGGGCTTCTTAGAAAAGCAGTTGTTATATTCACTGCAGACCATGGAGAACTTGCTATGGAACATCGTCAGTTCTATAAAATGAGCATGTATGAAGGAAGTTCCCATGTTCCTCTTTTAGTTATGGGACCAGGTGTAAAAGAACAGCAGGAAATACCAAATGTAGTATCTCTTGTGGATATATATCCTACTATGCTTGGTGAGTTAAGTAATTTCAAATGAAATTTTTTTTCCCAGTTACCATTATTATGCATTTGTATTATAGTCAGAATTATGCCTCCTTGGATGCATTTGAGATATGTATAATCCTTGCTAGCCTTCATACCTAACAGTTTACTATAGCAACTTGTCTCAGTCTCAGGAGACTGGAATGGAATGTTTGCTAAAGAGAATGAGTTATGAGATAGACCAAACTCCTCTCTCTCAGCAATTGTAAATTTAAAATTAAGGGGCTTTAATCGAGGAAGTGTGGGAAAAAAACCAGAAGAAATAACAACCCTTTATTAAAAGATATATGTATGTTGGCAAAAAACAGTAACAGAACACAAAAAAACCCTAGACAGTAGTCCTAGGACTAATAAGGTAAGAATGGATATCCATTATTGTATCTTATTTCCTTACCTTATTAGATATGAAAGTATTCAGTATGGGACAGAGACTCAAATGAAAAGAATTGACAATAAATTACTTGGATGGAAATTACTTTTAAGAATGAAGTTTTAAACAGTTGTCTGTGATAAATCATGCAAGAGATGACTCTCATTGAAACTAAACATCAGGTGAAGTTGCTGTTTGAGACTACAAATCAGAAAAGCGTTCTTTTCAAGCCAGTCTGCAAAGCTTTCTCTTTAAGATGTGTCACGTGTACACTGCAGCTGGCTGAGAGAACATGGGGCAGTAGATAAAACTGTACTTCTAGCAGTGAATGTCAGCAAAAAATCCTGTTATCCAGTTGAAAATAGGATATAAAATCTGAGTGACTTTTTCTTTCAAATTTGATATCAAATCCTCTGAAGAGTCCTTAGGGTTCTCCTTCAAGAAGAACAAGGACTGGTTTGATGAAAACAATCAAAAGATCCAGGAATTGTTGAGGAAGAAGAGAACCGCCCACCAAGCACACCTTGCTCAGACATCTTGACATGTAAGAAAAGCAGCCTTTCATCTTGCATGCAGCAAGCTCCAACAGAAACTCCGTGACATCCAGAACAAGTGGTGGATCAATCTAGCAGGAAAAAATCAGTTATGCGCTGATACAGGTGATTACAGAGGATTCTATGAGGCCCTGAAAACAGCATACGGGCCTACATATCAGGTCCAAAGCCCTCTACTCAGCACAGATGGTCAGGTGCTTCACACAGATAAAATCTCCATTCTGAATCGATGGTCTGAACACTTTCAGACTCTTTTCAGTACTAGCCATGTAATTCAAGACTCAGCAATTCAGTCCATCACACAGCAACTGGTGAAGAATGAATTGGATATTGCCCCTACTATGGGAGAAACTCTCAAGGCCATACAGCAGGTGAAAACTGGCAAGGCAGCTGGGGTTGATGGAATTGCACCTGAAATCTGGAAACATGGGGCCTTGCACTCCATGCTAAATTTCATGAGTTTGTGGTGCGCTGTTGGGAGAGCTAGGTGAACTACCATCAGACCTTCATGATGCAGTCATCATCACCTTGTATAAGAAGAAAGGAATTAAATCAGACTGTTCAAATTACCGTGGTATTACTCTGCTCTCCACTGCTGGTGAAATCCTGGCAAGAATACTCTTGAACAGACTAATACCCACTATAGCAGAAGGAATTCTACCTGAAAGCCAATGTGTTTTCAGAGCCAACAGGAGTACCACAGACATGGTGTTTGTTCTCAGACAACTGCAAGAGAAGTGTAGGGAACAGAACAAAGGTCTCTATGTAACCTTTGTTGATTTCACCAAGGCTTTTGATACTGTGAGCAGAAAAGGTCTGTGGCAGATTTTGGAACGTTTAGGTTGTCCCCCCAAGTTCCTTAAAATGATCATCTCACTCCATGAGGATCAGCAGGGCCAAGTCAGATATGGCGATACACTTTCTGAGCCCTTTTTAATAACCAATGGTGTGAAACAAGGCTGTGTTCTTGCACCAACCCTATTCACAATCTTTTTCAGCATGATGCTCCAAAGGGCCACGGCAGACCTCGATGAAGAAAATGGTATCTACATTCGATACTGTACTGATGGAAGCCTTTTCAACCTAAGGTGACTGAAAGCCCACACTAAGACCTTAAACCATCTTGTCCAGGAGCTGCTTTATGCTGATGACACTGCCCTTGTCGCCCACACAGAAGTAGCTCTGCTGCTACTTTAACATCCTGCTTTGCAGACGCTGCTGAGCTCTTTGGGCTGGAAGTCAGCTTAAAGAAGACAGAAGTTCTCTATCAACTGGCACCTCAGGAAGTCTTCCATCATCCCCATATCACCATTGGCTAATCAGAGCTCAAATCAGTCCAACAGTTTTATTACCTAGGTAGCCTCATCTCCTTGGATGGTAAGATTGACAGAGAGAGAGAGACAACAGGTTAGCAAAGGCATATAGTGCCTTCGGAAAACTCCATAAAAGAGTCTGGCGAAATAAACACCTGAAGAAAAGCACAAAAATCAGTGTTTACAGAGCCATTGTGCTGTCTATTCTTTTATATGGATCCAAATCATGGGTCATTTACCGCCACCACCTGTGACTCCTAGAACGCTTCCATCAACGCAGTCTCCATACAATCCTAAACATCCACTGATCAGATTTTGTGACTAATACATCTGTTTTAGAACAAGCAGCAGTCACAAGTATAGAGGCCATGTTGCTGAGAACACAGCTGTGCTGGGCAGGACACGTCTCAAGGATGAAGGACCACCCCCTCCCTAAGATCTTGCTCTATGGTGAACTTGCCACTGGCTGCTGCAAGAGAGGAGCCTGGAAGAGGAGATACAAGGACTCCCTGAAACAACATCTCAGCCTTGGCCATATTGACCTTCATAACTGGTCTACTCTGGCCTTCAATCCAGAGGCCTGGAGACACACCATCTATAACGCTGCTGCTTCTTTTGAGAACACACACAGGATCACTCTCGAGGAGAAAAGACAACACAGAAAGAATCATGTTTTGCCAATACCATCTAAGGAGTCTTTCTGCTGTGGCTTTTGCAGCTGGACTTGTCTCTCTCTCATTGGCTTCTTTAGCCACCAGCACACTTGTAGCAAATGTGGGTAGTGTCCTTCCTAAATCTTTGTTTGCGAAGCCTAGCCATGATGATGATGATGATGAAGTTATGGTATCATATGTAAAGAGTTAAAAATCTCTTTTTTTTCTTCTTTGTCCCCTTTTCCCAAATGAAATAATTGGCCAGGTGGTTTAACATCTTTCTATCTTTTCCTTCTATTTCCCCCTCCGCACCCCAGAACTTTCCTTCTCTTCTGGCAGTTCCCCTTTTCTGTAAACTGAATGTCAGAAAGGCATATATGTCGAGGTGACTGTGAAAACGTGAAGAACTACCTCTGTGGACTATTATGTCCTCAGTTTGTATGCTACTGCTGGCTAATGAGGAAACAGATTTCAATCCTATTTTTGTGATAAATATAATCCCTTTGCTTTGTGTCATCTTAAGACACCATCCAAAGGCTTTGCTCAAGACTTCCACCTTTAGTAACTTTGTGAATAGGCACAGATGTTTTGATTCCAGCAGAATCTGTGTGATACCTATAATTCAGATGGAAGTACAACAGCTCTCGCATTTTTTAACAGGATGTTACATAACCTTTCCTCCAGGCAACACAGAGTTTCTTGATCTGTATGAAAGTACCTTTGGCTTTCTATTGGAAAAGCAGGAACTGCTGAAGGTACCGGGAACATTCTTTGCACATGCAGTTACTTCAACTAATAGCATTACTGATTTAGGATAACAGAAGAGCCTATATCCCTTTTTCATTTGTTTAAATGTAGTATGTATTTGTTCAAGGTTTTTGCCCATTCATTGGAAACTGCTGAGTTTACACATTACAAGTCTTTCTAGCGCTTAGTCAGATGCTGGCTGGACAGAGGACAAAAAGGAAGATGTGTGCTGATAAAGGAAGTCACTTATGGGCAATTTGTATGCACAGAGTATCGCTACTTGGCATAGAACTGAAGATTAAATACTACCACTGTGCTCTGTGAAGTGGAAGATGTTGAATTTTGAATGACTATAGATGATGTTCAGGGTGGTGATTAAAAAATAACTGTCATACCTGTTTTTTAGGACATGCTGAAGTTTAGGTGACATGGTTGGGATTCTTGATTATGTTTTTCAGAATGTCTTTGACAAACCTGTGCAGCGTTTTAATATTGACCTGATCTTTGTGACCTAGAGACACTTGTGATGTAAGTTGATGCTGAGGAGCTTATGGATATTACAGCATCTTCTGAGGATCATCTAGTGGGTTATGGAGTCACCAGTGTTTTCCATACATGCACTGTCTTGATACTACTTCTGATACCATCTTTATCTCCAGTCCTGCAAGAGAAGCAAGTGCCCCTGCTTCTCAGTTTCCCCACCAGTTACAGATGATAACCATAACATCCACCTTTGTAAAGCATTTCAATATTCACTGCTGAAGAATGCTACATAGCAGTTTAGCACTGTTATTGTTAAAGGAATGAATGCTATGCCATGTTGAATGTGGAGCTTTTGGGGTCTTTTCATACTGTGACATTCTTTTTCTCCTGCCTGGTCTCTCCGCAGTCAAAGCGGAAGAGAAATGTTTACAACCATGATTAGAAAATAAAAAAGCACCACCCATCAAAGGAGGTTATTGTGATTTCTTTTCACAAACTTCTGTTAGACATAGATGATAGTGAATTTGATCAAGATGGTGGGCAGCTTGCCTCAGGAAGTTCCCTAAAGTTTCTTCATTGTGTTTTTTGGTGTTTCTTTGTTCTACAAGAATAATAATTAGGAATGTACATCTTATTATAAAAATAAAATGTTCAGACAACTGTAGCATTGTGTTAGGCTTTTTTTAATCATGGAAACTGCAATAGCATTTTGGTTTTGTATATCTTTCCTTAGATATAGCAAGAATTCCTGTCCCACAGAACCTCAGTGGATATTCTCTTATACCGCTGCTACATAAAAAGACTGAGAGTGAAGTGTCACCAAGTGGACCTCGGCCCTCTTGGGTGCTGAGTGAGTTCCATGGGTGCAATGTGAATTCTTCTGTGTATATGCTGCGAACTGGCAAATGGAAATATATCGCGTACTCGGATGGCTGTTCAGTACTGCCTCAACTATTTGGTATGTTACAACTTTTATGTCCTGACTAACTCATTAATTTAATTAAATACAGTCTTAACTGGCTTTTTGTTTGTTCCAGATCTTACTGCTGATCCAGATGAGCTAACAAATGTTGCCATAAAATTCCCACTAATTGTACGTTCCTTGGACAAAATACTCCGTTCTATAGTAAACTATCCAAAGGTTTCTTCTTCTGTTCAGGAGTATAACAAACGACAGTTTATCAGTTGGAAACAAAGTTTGGGTCAGAATTACTCAAGTGTTATTGCGAACCTTAGGTGGCATCAAGACTGGTTAAAGGAACAAAAAAAATATGAGAATGCAATTGACAAATGGCTTGGGGAGTAGACAGAAACAACCTGGATTTATTATGACTGAGGGTATGAAAACACTATGCATTTGTAATATTATACTGTATTTCAAGTATTAGAATTATTGTCTTATATAAGCTATTGAAAGTAAAGATTCCCAAACAGTTACTGCTTTGTTAGGCAACGTTACAGTGGAATTTGTCAGATTGATTATAGGTCCACATTAAATACACATTCATCTGCTGGGGTTTGGAAGTTGTTAACTCACTTGTCTACCATTGCTTTCTGTGTTGCCATAGTTATTAAACTGTCTTCTTGCATTGGCTAGCCAAATGGCCAATCCCGTCCTTGGCCCAGCAGACCTTATAAGCTGTGGGAAATTTGAATAAAGGCCCTTCTTCGCTGCTGGATTCCCTGCGTGCTACGTGGTCTCTGTCTCCTGGCTTAAGTACCTCCACCACCTGTCCCTGCCACGAGGGACGGGCGGTGGGGGGTGATTCCAGCCCTGAAAACCTTCACAGAGCATCCGGCAGTGACCCCCCAGAAACCCCTCAAACTGCAATATTCATCCACTTAAGAGAAGCTATAGCAGTTAAAATATAATCAAAAAGTTAATAACGAGTACTGGCCTGAACATAGACGCAGTTTATTCAAGTACTTAACTATATCAGCGTTCCTGTATCATATACATGACTGACTCTCCATCTTTTCAACATCTGACTGCTAACCTCTTGCTTTTAGATCTGGTACTTATCACTCCTTGCTTGTTTAAAATTTCATAATGTGCATAGGCTCCTCATTGCACATGTGGAGGGGAATCTGATCTCTGGTCACGGTTGGAAAATAGAACAAAAAAACCAAACCCAAGAATCCTCTAACCAAATCTGTGAGTAGAGTAGTTCTTTGAAAGGTGATAGTGTGATTTGCATAGCATAAGATGAAAACTGCATCTCTGTTATGCAGTTAGATTTTGCAAATAAATGCTTGTTAGGATCCCATTATTAAAAGATGCCTCTGCCCGAATTAAGATGCAAATGGGACCATGTGCCAAAGTCAATAGTATGGTTTTATTTAGCAGTAAATATGAGGTAGAAAGGTAGAAATAGAAAGAGAAAGAGAGAGAGAGAGAGAGAGAGAGAAAGAGAGAGACAGATTAAGTAGAAAGATAAAGATAAAGGTAAAGATATCATCACCACATGGATTCTAACAGGATCTCACTGGTCCTTCTGGTCTTCTCGGTGATGAGGGTCCCAATGTTGTGCTTTTTGGGTACTGCTTTTATGCAGTCCAAGTCTCAGATATTCACAGGGAGTCTCAGATGTTCCCACACTTTGGGATGGCATGAGTGTAAGCAGTTGTTTTCTTTCTTACAGCTTGCACAGTGGAATTTTGTCCAGTGTGCTAATTTCAAACCTTTACCTTCATTTATGTCTGTAATTAATGCTTTCCTTTCTCACCGTTTTCTACAGTGGGAATCTTTGTTTGAGTAGGTTACCCAGATCTGTCTTACCAGACCTGGTTCTTATCACAAGTTCCAGTAGTGGTGGCTTATCTTATGGAAATTTCCTTCTTTGACAGTGTTTTGAAACAATTCATGGCATTCTTTAAGTCCTGTCAATGCTTTAATGTGCATCAATGAGTGGAGAACTGAAACCTAAAATATAAACACAGAAGACAGAATTGAAGCTTACAGGAAGAGTTAACATAAAAATACTATTTCACATTTTTCCAGGGATGTGACGAAAAACCAAAGTAGTTTTGGAAGAAGATTGGATTTAGATAGTAACTCTTCTGCTTAAGGAGAAATATAATTATAGCAGCACTTAAGTTTGCTTATTCTTGATGACAGTGCTTGCTGCTATAGTACCAATTCAGAATGACATACTTAATACATAAATCCTTTTCTAAATCTGTAATTAAATACCTAGCAGTAGCAGTAAGCTAGTAAGACTAAACATAAAAAGGACACATATTTTCTGATGGCTAAGCACTCCACATGCATTCCATAAACAACTTACCACACTGGAATTAGCTACATACTGATGAGGGTTTTAACTGTTTTCTGTCTTTGTGTCCACAGGACATTACTGCTAACCTTATACAACTTGCTGCTATGGCAGAATTTTATTTTTTTATTATATATCATAGGCAAGGAGCAAACTAACAGTTAAAAAAGCCTTCAAACTCTGTAGCACATGCCATGATAAATCTGGTTAAAATGAGTTCAGGTAGGGATAAAATTACTTAAAATAAATGGGCTGCATACTTAGAGAAAGTATTTATGTCCATACGATTGTTTGTTCAAGAGGGAGAAGAATAAAGAAATTGATTGCTTTCCAGAGGTCTGAACAAAGTGCAGTACATTGTACAGAATACAGTAAAATAAAATTGCGGTGAACTGGATGTATTTTGGGTGTTCTTTTTTTAATGCCTGAATGTTTAAAAAATTATTAGGGGAAATTGTATTTTGTCACTTCTGTGGACAGTGCTTTCTTTGAAGACATGAGCTTTTAAGATGCACTAATGTTAGGTTTACAAAAGTGCCATTTTGAGGTACATTCTGAAATGGAAGAAGAATTGGAAAAAAAACATCTTGTGTCACACACTGTCTAAAGAAGCCCAGTGCATGGGGCAGGCTTCCAGACAATGCAGGAAACACCGGAGCTACCATGTCAGGAAGTAGGGATGCTTGTTCGCAAGGTGGTACTGTGGTATGTGAGTCAACAAGTAGCAGATTGTGAGTCAACAGTAGGCACTCAGTATGCCTACATTAGTACTTCTTGTATATAGTCTTCTTAAAATGCTTGTTTAAAAAGAAAATGTTGACTTGTTAAAAGAAAAACTTTTGACTTTTGCAAGTTATTTGTTAGTTATGTGTGAACTTTTGTTCTGAAGAGCAAGAGAGAGAAAGGAAAAGCCCCTAACCACCTTCCTGTATCTGTTGGCAATAAATAATATGTCTGTGTTGGTTTAGAACTGAGCTAATTTAAGTGTAAAACAAATGGATTTAACAATACGGTTGTATTCAGTTACTGTGTTAGTTATGCTTATGCATCTGCATTATTGTAACATTAATCAAATGAGGTGTGCAGCATGCAAGGCTGACCAGCTAACAAAGGAGAAAATCTGTTTTTCAAACATGCCAAGTGAGTTATGCAGTATTAACACTGAAGAGAGACTGTGGAGTGAAAGACTGTGGCTGGAATGCCAACAGGTTCAAACTTATTGATTAGATGTATTCAGGTCAACGCAGCTTTCTGAGACATATCTGAGGCTACCAAGGGCATTGGCCTGGTCAGCTTCTGCTGAGAGAGGTACCATTGTTCTGTCGAACAAAAATGTATTTTTGTAAACACAAGGTCATCATGGTCACTAAAGAGGTAAGAGACTGCCACTGTGAATTTGCCAAGAAACCACGTAAAAATAACACTCTGCCGCCTTTGTCAGGATAACTAGCCTGGTTGGTAAGTAGTCAGTGATAGTGTCTAACTGCAAAAAAAAAAAAAAAAAGGTGAAATCCAGACTTTGAATGCACTTGGACAATGGCCTATCTGATCTACTTTCATGTGGAAATAGAGTCTAGACAAAATTACTGTAAGTTAAGTTCAAAACTAAAATCAAACTCAGTTGTAGATTCCAAAAATCAAAAAGTGGGAAGGCTGATAAATAATGTCTGCAAGAATTTTATGTAGTTCTGTTTTTTACTTCTTTAGTAAGTCTTTTACTTTTTTAGTACTCTGAATGCAGGAGTAGGAACCTTTTTCTTATTAAACATGAGAAAATGCACCTGGGGAGAGCTATCAACACTTCTGAAAATAGGCTAAAATTCAAAGTAGTCTTGATTAGCTGGATAAAATGATCTGAAATCAATAGGGTCAAATTCATCATGGCTTAGTTAAAGGTCAAAATAAAATGGAAATGGAAAAAATACTAAAATTGTGAACAACAAAATGCCTAGGTTTCAGTTTTGCAGAACAAAAAGCCTCCCATGCCTGGGCATTTTAGAGGAATTTAGAGGCATTTTAGAAGCATAATATGTTCAGCATATTATGTTCAACAGTGATGTTCCTGGACGGGGGGTCGTGTGGCTGCTGCCCTCATGGCATGCAGGAGCAGGGACAACCCCAGGGCCTGGGCCAGATGGGAGAAGCTGCAGCAGTGCCAGGGGTGTGGATAGTTAATTTTGCCACCCGTTTCCATGGACTTTGCTTGGCATGATGGAAGACTGTTCTTTCCCCAAGTGGTTTCTCAAGGATGGGTGAAGGGCATGTTCATCACATGAAACCTCATGGCTTGGTTGCTTCTCTCCACACTGCAACCCAGAGAAAAGCATGTGTGTGTGGAAATCTTTTGCTGAAATCCTGATCTGAAATGTTCCTGTGGGCCTAGCTGGATTGTAGCACCCTGACATCAACTCTGATTATTAAACAGATCTTATCAAAAGATTCATTTTAGATGGATGAGGCATTTTGTACTGGAAAAAAAATTACTTTTGACTTTATACAATTAAATACTACTCATGGCTAAATAGTCTTTGGACTGCTTTGCTGTTGTCAGATCTTTTTTCAAAATACAATGCTTATGAAATGCATAATTTGTCATTTTATCCTGAAAAAGTCTTCACCCACCATTTTTCCAGCAAGCTTTGCTATTTATCAAATCAGAACTATGGGATGGAGCACAGTGGTGCCCATTCTCATTTTTTCTAGTATGCAGCTGATGGTGACTGAGACAGCGATGGTTTGGTAAAGGCATCCACTGTGAGCTGGAGGTATCTTGCAAAGGAGTTCAGAGGATGGAAAAAGTGACCTGGCAATGCAGCCTGGACATAGGAGTGATTTATGGTGCTGGCTAGCAATGTTGCTGCTCCCTGACTCTGTGCCCCTATTGCAACTTCTTCAGCGAGGAGACTCTGGTAGCGGCCTAGGTGAGAAAACTGGAAGTCCTCAGGAGCAGGGTGTTTCAAGACTCCCTGTTAGGTCTGCAATTTTGGGGTTGTCATGAGAAAGGTAAGGGGGGGTTGCGTGACCCTTAGAG